TGTTCACCTCTGCATGTGTGTTCTGTGTTCACCTCTGCACGTGTGTTCTGTGTTCACCTCTGCATGTGTGTTCAGTGTTCACCTCTGCATGTGTGTTCTGTGTTCACCTCTGCACGTGTGTTCACCTCTGCATGTGTGTTCTGTGTTCACCTCTGCATGTGTGTTCTGTGTTCACCTCTGCACGTGTGTTCTGTGTTCACCTCTGCACGTGTGTTCAGTGTTCACCTCTGCATGTGTGTTCAGTGTTCACCTCTGCATGTGTGTTCTGTGTTCACCTCTGCATGTGTGTTCTGTGTTCACCTCTGCATGTGTGTTCTGTGTTCACCTCTGCACATGTGTTCTGTGTTCACCTCTGCATGTGTGTTCAGTGTTCACCTCTGCATGTGTGTTCTGTGTTCACCTCTGCATGTGTGTTCTGTGTTCACCTCTGCATGTGTGTTCTGTGTTCACCTCTGCACGTGTGTTCTGTGTTCACCTCTGCACGTGTGTTCAGTGTTCACCTCTGCATGTGTGTTCTGTGTTCACCTCTGCACGTGTGTTCTGTGTTCACCTCTGCACGTGTGTTCAGTGTTCACCTCTGCATGTGTGTTCTGTGTTCACCTCTGCACGTGTGTTCAGCGCGTGTATCTGGCAAATAAAGACCCCCTCAAAAGTTACAGTTTATTTAATTTTAAGGATGAGCACCACGCAACATCTCCAGGTGCTCCTTTGAGAACCAGGGCAAAAAAGTTATGTTCACCCCTGATTATAACGACATTACCTTTTTGTTGAAAAAAACAAATGATGCATCAGTAACATGTGTAACACTGGAATTAATTAAAAAAACAAGAACCTCCACTTACAATAGCATCATTAGCTGCTTCAATGTCAATGATTTATTGATGTGCTCAGATGATGCATAGCTATACATTGACAAATCTACCATTAAAATGGGATATTTTTTAAAGTCTATCAATAATTTATAGTAAAACAAAGATACTACTGTTTACACACAGGCCTACTCTGTCACAGCCCATCTTATATTCTAGCACACAGCTTTAGGGATTCTCAGGAATGGGCTTTCTCATGTGTGGAATGAGGGGTCAGCTGTGAGCACATGATTAACATGATACTGAAGGTATGCACTTTCTCAGCATTGTCACTGAGGTGGTATCAACAGGTACCAGTATTTGCAAGGTGGTTGGTAGAAAATGGCAATCAAAAGCAGAATCTGTTGATAATAAAGAAGTCATGATTCAGAGGACAGTATAATAGTGCACTTACATCACGAAACTGCACCATCCCGATCTCTCCCAGTTCACTGACACAACAGTAGGCCGCTTCTGACTGGAGGAAGAGCTGAGCCAGCGTCATGTCTTCACTTCTAAAGAGTTCCCCCATGTTGCTGCAGGATGCGAGCGCTCAGCACCCCTAAAACCAACCAGAACCTCTAGAAACAGAACATTAATATTGATAATTAGTCACACATTCAAGAAAGAACAACATGAAGGATCTAAGTGGTTCTCCATGTATCTCTACATAGCACATTAGTGTCAAGATCACTGATGAGGGAGGCCTTTATCAGATGTGTGTTAGTTTAGCAGGCATGTGACAAAAAAGAGAAAAGAAAAAAAGTATATCAGCTTCTCCTCATGCTGGTCTCATGATCACAGCAGGAATGTTGTTACACTTAAAATCGGTGTTTTCTGAACCATGGCAATACAGAAGCTTTGTAATATAAAATTGTGGATGCAAACCAAAGGTAAACAGAAAACGTGGTTAGAAAGCAGCCTATGTAATATTTGACAATAAATATGAATATGTTCTCAGCATAATTTAGTTTAGCAGCATATCCTCCCACTGTTAACCGACCACACAGGGCTTATCTGTGGATTACAGGGTAGCATGTGACCAGTAGCTCTAGTAAGCCTCCCCACTTCCACCACGCAAAGGGCTCATTAACCGATTTAACACAGCAAAACAAGTTCACATAACACCATAAACTTTACAAAACTTAAACAGTTAAGTGACTTCGTATTTAGCTTTTTGAATTACATATCAAGCAGTATTGTAACTAGTTTAGCACCGACGAGTCGACGACAGAACCTTTCACCTGTCAAAGATGATGTCAAATGGATAGCAGTATGGCTAACTAAATTGACATGTCACTGTCACACCAATTTACCGAAACTAGTAAACTCACATAATCTAATAACGTAGAAAAGCAATCAATACATAAGGTAACAAATTCAGCTTTTACAGTTTTAAATGTTAGCAAAACTAAATCAGTAGTCGGAAGCTAGTCAGATTAGCAACCCCTTAGTTAAAGTGTAACATTAATCTTAAAAACAGGATAATCGTACAACTAAATATTAACTTGGTTGAGGTTAATATGTATTGTATCCACAACATCAGGTTGTTAGTTAGCTCATTTAACAGTCAAGTAAATCATGATCAGTTTGCATTTTAAGTGGTGCGGGTGCTAGCCGGAGAGCTAACGCTAACTTAGCGCACCTGTTGCTCAATACTTTACCGAAATAATAAGATTAACGCTAGATTGGTTTATATAATTTACACTCTCAATTACCGTTTTTTAAGCAACAGTGTACCTACTGTTCAGGCGGAGATGTCCCTCTCCTCCTTGGTCTCTTTCCTGATTTCCTCTCTGCTGTTTGTTGTGGGCTGGTCGGTGGTTCGCAGCTGACAGCTCTTCTTCTTCCTCTTCTTCTTCTTCTGGGTTTATGGCGGTTCACGTCCTGAACGCTGCTTTACTGCCTCCTCCTGGGTATGGTTCTCCTCAATGCCCAGTTAAAGTCGTGTAATTAGCATTGGTAATTAGTCAAAAACCTATAATAAAACGAATGGTAAGTGATGGGATGTAGCTGAATACATTTACTAAAGGTAGTCAGCACTCTCATTATATCTGCACTTTATTTTAGATGATTTTATTTGATACTTCTTTAAACTTCTACATCACTACAATTCAGTAGGAAATATTGCTCTTTTAAGGCTACTTACATTTATTTGACACATACTAGTTATTTGTATATTTTTAAAGCATATAATATAATTCAGTATTATACTTCAGTAATCTATAATTGGTAGCCTAAAAGACCAAACAAAGTATCCAAAATTCGTTTTTCAAGCTCCACATTTGGACTTAAATAATAAATCATAGGCTTTTTATGTGTGATAAACACAGAACATTTTTATATTCTATAATAATGCAGCCACTCTGTATAAAACGTAGGACACTTACTAATGGAGTAATTATAAACCATGGTAGGCCTACTTTTACTTTGAATGAGGCACTACTTTCTCTGATATGTTCCTTTTGCCTGTTTCATTATCATCCCTAAGCCTTAAGATTGTTTGTATTCCATCATACACTTGTAAGAGTGTTCGTCTTTATAAGTTTCAGTGCCTTTTTTTATATTTTCCATTGCTTCACTTGCCACCATTCATTTGTTCTCCTCTTAAATGTGCCTTTACTTTCAGCAATATATTCTAATGCAGCGGTCTTATTTTATCATAAAATGCTTCTTTCCCCATATTATAATCATCCGACTTAGATATGTATCACTTTCTGTGTGAACATTCTCTTAATGAACACATTTAAATGCATATTTCATGCCCTTCATTGCAACTAGTGTTTTGTTGTTCCACTGTATGACCACTAGAGGGCTGTGAACTGTCATGATAAAACAGTCAAAATGGGTTTATGGATGATATTCTAGATTTCTTACAAACACTTATTTAGTCCACCTCAGCGCCGCTGGTCCACCTCACTACTACGTCATTATTTTTAACATATTAATTATTTCAAAAAGATGCTACCCCTTTTGTTGGATTTTATTGGTCTAGATTCCTTGATAACAAGAATTGGGACTACAATAATTTCAAACATAAAAGTTATCCTGTCAATAATCTTTCACAAAAAAACGTGTAATCAGCTGACACTTTTTTACACAAAGAGAAAAAGAAAGGTGGACCAAGATGGCGGCTGTGAGCTCAAGGCTTTTTCCTCCACTTGCCTAGGTTTAAGTTGAGTCATCTTACTTGACCAAAGTTTTTATGCAAAAACAGGTAAAACACGTGAGCATTCTTCTCATTAAAGCAACAAAAAAAAACTAGCTTAGCATGTTTTCTAGCTAGTGGTCACTTTGTTTATACACAGGAGTCAGGACGCAGGTACAGGAAGGACCTCCAAAGATAAGGTACCGTTGCCCGGCCGTTAAACCAAGTTCTGAAACTCCAAAGTCAGAGTAGAATATACACAAGCTTGTCAACTCGTCCCTGGTCAGTGCTATTTATTAACTTCCCGACTTCACAAGGCTTTTGGGACTGCTAGCAATGACGTTTCTAGAAGTCCAAACTGGTCTCGGTACTGCAACCTGTTCAAAAGAAGCCATGTTGAAGTCCGAATAGCCGACCATGTTATGATGTTCATCAAACATTTGATCAAAAACAACCAATGTGTGCAGCCAAATAATTATAAAAATATTAATATTATTTTGTAATACTACAATAGTAAAACAGTTTAAATGCACATTTTGGCTCCTACAGTATAGACTAATCAACAAGATGTTAGTTATTATTGATGAATGTTTGAACATGTAGATTGTAAGCATATCTCAAAACCAAGAATCAGACTTTAGAAAGTAGAAGAAAAACAAAAATCAATCCAATTAAACATTCAATCTAATAAACAACACACTGACACATACATCAAACACAATAGAGTAGCCTACCCCAAACCACATGCATTTGGTAAAACAATCAGCATAGCCTTATTGACATGACATAATCGGGTGAGCACAATAGTAGATTGTGAACTTCAAATTGTCACAATTCATTGGTCTGAACTGATAGACGGTCTACATTTGATTGAATTTGGAATCTGGTAGAGAAATGCTGCCCTGTGCTTGGGGACAGATTGGGTGGAGCCCATGGCAGCTGGGGGAGCTGGGGGCGGGTGTAAGAAGGGAAAACTTTGACTGGGTGGTTTCACAGGGAGCAGAGGCATTTGAGTCAGGGCATACATGCCTCAACTGTGAGAGGCCCAACTCCCCTTGGCTGGCTGTCATCCCAGAGCAGAGGCAGAGAGACACAGAGACTGAGGGTGAAGAGAAAGTTAAAGTGTAAAGTAGACTAGAAAGAGGCAAGTGTTTGAGGAAGTTGTTTTAAAAGAAGAAGAAGAAGAAGAAGAAGAAGAAGAAGAAAGGTTTACGGACTTGAGTTGTGTGTAGCAAGGCTCCTGCAGGTCGTTTTTCAGTAGTTTATTTTTAACTGTAGCCAGTGCGCAGGCGGTTTGCATTCGGAGTTGACAGCCATGGCGGATACAGGTGTCAAGAAGGCGCACGTAGAAGAGCCTTACGATGACGACGACAAGGTAGCTCTGGTGACCGCCGCCACAGAGCCGGCTGTAGACGACGATGATGATGATCTTTCTGAGGACCCTTCTGAGGAGGTGGACCTGGAACTGGCCACCAGACCTGGAGGCAAGACTGAAGCACAGATGAATGGGGTCATGGTCCTGTCTCTGCTTGACAAGATTATCGGCGTAGTAGACCAGATCCAGCAGACCCAGAATGGGCTGGAGGCCCGGCAGGGGGCCATGGAGAAGTCAGTGTCAACCATCCAAGGGGAGCTGGCTAAGATGTCCAAGAATCACGTCGGCACAACCCACACTGTCAACAAAATGCTCGATAAGGTACGCAAGGTCAGCGTCAACGTCAAGTCGGTGAGGAACAACCTGGAGAAGCAGGCGGGCCAGATCAAGAAAATGGAGAGCAACGAGAGCGAGCTGCTCAAGAGACGCAACTTCAAAGTGCTCATCTACCAGGTGAATACTTCAGTGTGTGTGAGCTTGATCTCTCACTATTTCTATTGCTGGGTGGATCAACAGCAAACCATCTTTCTTGGAGAATGTTCTGGTAATGTGTTACATGTGGCTGTTAAAGTTACACTCACAGTACATGTTAAGGGGTTGTGTTGCATTCCCAATAGGAAAGTTGGGAGGGCAGTGTGAAATGCACCTGAAAAGCTATCAAAACATCAGAGCCACCTTTTGACATCATCTCACCAGAGAGAGTTAGTCACACTGTGGCTTGAATTGACCCGTGTTAGTGGAAATATCCTGTAGTTTCTCAGGATAGGCTCTTTGGTTTCTATGACATACATGTCTAAATCAGTTTTTCCTAAAACTTCAATGAGGCTGTAATGTTTTAGAACAGAAACAGAAAGTGCAAGGTGTATTTATAAACTGTTATAAGGTTTGTATTCATGATCAGTGAGAGGCGACATCCACCTACTACTACTAGCTTTCATGGAAACTCCAAGACTTCATGATTACCAAATGAAACTATATGAAGACTAGTGGTGTAAATAAAAAGGCCTATAAACACTGGCATGAAGGGCTACTTGAGACAGAATCAACGCCCCAGCCTGGAGGGCTCAGTGAGCAGATAGTTGGCAGGGCGATGCCATGTAAGATGAAGATGTAGTTTATATTATTAAGATTTCTCGGAAGTGGCACTCACTGGCCTTCATGCATTCAATCATGCACAAACCTGCATTTTAATACCTGAGAACCCAAGTAAGAGTATTGGGGCAGTGTCAAATGTTTTTTAGGGAGCACTTCTCAAACAGTTGGGACCATGAACATGTTAGAAAGAAAAATGGGTTAGAAATCAGATTGACGTATGAAAGTGTGACTGACAGCTGTTGTGCATTTGAAACCAGGTGAGCAACTCCTTTCTTTTAAGCAGCACACTGCTGTCATGTCTCTCTGGTAAACCTGTGGCATGGACATGTCAAATGTCAAAGAAAACGTCCGAAGTAGTTACCTTGTGCACATTACATCATAACTTTTACTCCCTTGGAAGCAACACTACATCTGAGAGTTGTAGAGCTTACTACTAGCAGGCTGACCATTTCAGCTCCCCTTCCTGGGATGTCCACTATGGGAGTGGGTTACACTATTGGCATGCAGCAGAAATCCAATCATGCACTAGTCTTTGATAAATTACTCTGCCAAGCAGGTGCCCCCCTGCGGTTTGAGATACTGTCTATATGGCAAGCTCTTTTTTAACGGCATGCCAGTTAGACATTGTAACGTACAGCACTTTGCGTGAGACGAGCTGCAGATGGGGCGAAGCTTGCACCATTTTGTAATGTTAAGGCTTTATTCTGTCATAAGCTTTGATTGTGCTTCAGCAGTCAGTATTATGTAAAGTGCTACTATTGACATCTATATGGGTCACAGTCATGTTTGAAAGCGGTTGTATGAGCTGCTGCTTCCATGTTGCAGTAGCCGTTTTCAGCTCCCACAATCTGATCTATTTTTGCCAGAAGATGGCTGCACGTGTCCCGTTTAATTAACGAACGTATACTGGTCAGGAATTGGCAGCAGTGAAAATCAACACTGGCTCTCAGTCAGCTTTCAACACTTTGCTGCGTTACTGTTTGTGTGTTAATGCGTAAGGATGAGATCAGGGTCAGGGTTAGGCATGAGGAGGTTAAGGTAGAGGTTCCGGTAAACGTCCCTGTCAGTCAGAAAGCTAGTGCTCTGTCCTCACCAGTAATATCAACTCTCAGTGCGTGTGTATGTGACCATTCTTCACCAATATTGCCTTTCACTTACAGGGTCAATGTCAAGGGAGGCTATAATTGGATAAGACAAGTGAAACATTTTCAGAGCGTTACCTTTGCTGTGTAAACTTTTTACTCTGTAAATTTAGCTTTAACTGCAGGTGCTGTTTTATTCTCTCCTGTCAATCTGTCTCTGCACTCTGAGAATAGACACATACTTCAGGATTTTTAGCCTGGAAATACTTTGACAGCGATGCTTTATAATTAAACCTTCAATGATGGTCACACGCAGGATCCCCCGGCAACAGCAGGGTGTGGTGATGAAGACATGTTGACCAAATGTGCATTGCATATCAGTTGTGGTGGAACAAGTATCTTAAACTAAAGTAAAAGTACTGGTCATAAATACTCTGAGTCCTTAATTAAAAATATTCTTGAAGTACCCAATGTAAAGGTATTCTTTATTTTGGAATATATCGGATTTTTGGATTACAATTATTTATGCATCAAGTTTATCTTCTTGCATCTACTTTGTAAACTGCCTTGTAGCTTGTATCATAATGTATAACAATTCAGTACATCATTACCTAACTGTGTTTGTAGCAGTGCTTGAATTGGAATGAAAAAGGTGCCAGTACTCTAAAATCAGCAACTTTTTCAAGTCAATTTTATATATACAGCCCACAAACAAGAATTTGGCTACTATAATGCTGGTGGGTTTGTCTCTTTACTACTGTATATTTTAGAAAGGTTCACTGTACTTAACATTTTTTATGATAGGCAGCGGATATGGCTAAAGCTCAGTAAGGTCAATATTAACTGAAAATATAGCAATCAAAGTCTAGATCTTCTGCTGAAGATACATGAAGCAGAGACCTTTCAGGTGAGAGCCCCTCTGGTGGTGTTCAACATTAATGACAAGGAAACAAAGCTCTGGTCAGAAGCATTTTTTATAAAAAGCTTTAACAAAATTAAGTATTTCTGTACATTTTGAATGCAATCTAATTTTCCAACTCAGAAAACGAAAAACGAAAAAGTGCCAAAAGTCTTCTCACATGGCTGAGCTGCTTTGCAATATACTTCACCACTGAAGAATACAAATATGTATAAAGTAAACTATGATGCAATCTAACTTTCCAACTCAGAAAAATGATAAAGAGCATGAACAAAGAACATGTAAAAACAAATATAAAAAATTTGCACAATCTAAAATGAGAAACTGTAACTGCAAGTAACAAAGTCTGAGCCATGGTAAAGAGTTACATTGAACACCAAGCTGATCAGATAACTCCCTGGTTGGTCTGAAGTCCTTCTATCTCCAGGATCTGTACAAATCGGCACATTATGCCAAAAGTCTTCTCACTGGGTGAGCTGCTTTGCAATATACTTCACATTGTTAGAAAAGGCTCCAGAAGGCCTTGGGGACATCAGTATCAGGGGCTGGAGCTGGACAGGCTCTTTCATCAGCACTTCTCCTTCCCTTTGCCAGCCAGGACCTCACATACTGTTCCGGATTGAACTGTCCTAGTGATGGTCCATTACATTTAATGAAAACCAGGCTGACAGTCGGCTGACAGAGAGAGCATTCCTTTTTGCAGTAAGGATATCGTTCATGCAGCTGAATGCCCGCTCACACTCACTAGTGGAGACAGCGATGGTTCGGACTGCTTTCAGTAGAGGCTCCATGGCAGCAGGTGTACGGGATGCCCTGGTTTCCTTGTATTCGCGAAAGCCCTGAACAGTCTCTCTTCTGTCCACTTTCAGCACTTCGCACAAACGTAGCACCTCTACGTCCCCATACTGTACGTCTAACTCCTCTTCAGGCCAACTTCCAGGATGGATAACTTTCATGTCCTGGATTAGCTGATTGTCCCGGGCCTCCCGGCCATGTAATGGGATTTCTCTTGTGCTGACATGAGAGGAGGTTGTGGAAGTCATTCTGTGTCTCAGATTCTCTACCATACTGCGGAAAAACTGACCTGCATGAATCTGTACAAGCCTGCCATTCTCACGCAGGGCAACACCCTTGAAGGACTTCTCAGCTAGAGCTGTATGAACTGTAGTCATGTGTGGGCCAGGCATGGTGACCATGGATTCAAAAACTCGTATTTCTCGAGTTAAGAGCCTATCTGCTGTAGGCAGTGTCATCTCTCTTTTTTGGAGTTGCCGAGAGAGGTCGCTGAGCTCTGTGAGCGCATCGTACATCAGTCCCAGATTGCTGACAAACGTTGCAGATGTGAGCACATCATCCAGGCCCTTGTACTTTGCTCTGTCTCTGGAATCCCTGCTCGTGTCGTTTGCAGCATTTGTGAAGTGATCATGAAGCACTCTGTAGTTTTCCCAGACTGCTCTGACGCTCCTTTCACTTGAAGCCACCCAGCGGATGGACAAAACACGCCCTATCACCAGGAGACGCTGTCCGACTGCTTGCGCACACTGCGCTAACTGCCTCTGATTTTTGGGGGAGGCATGGAACAAGGAATAGAGTTTGTCAAAAAAGATCTGGAAATGATTGAGCCCTGAGACCTCCTTGACCACATCCCCAACTGCCAGCTCTAGACGATGATTGGAGCAGTGCCACACAAACAGGCTTGGGAATTTACTACACAACTGGGTAGCAACGCCTGTTCTCTTCCCTAGCATGACTGAAGCCCCATCACATGCAAAAGAAACGAAACACTGACCTAAAAAGTCCTCGTTAAAATCTCTTCCAAGACACTCCATTAACGCCTTTGTGATGTCATCAGCCGTTGTTCCATCCAACTCGATCAGCTCCCAAAAAAACATTTCGGGCTCAGCATCAGCTAATGCTGAGCGTAGACACACAACAAGCACCGTTTTACCACTAATAGTGGTAGATTCATCGACCAAAACACAGAGTTTTCTTTGGTTTTCTGTAATGTCTTTTGCCATTTTTTTCTTCAGCTCATGAGCTATGTGGTCGATGATTTCGCCACAGGTTTTATTGGAGTGCAAAACCCTGCCCACGTTCAGCCCATTCAGTTTCTGTACATTCAAATCAATTGGCATGTCTGTGAATGGCCGGCTATGTTTGCCAATTTTATATGCCGTTCGAAAAACTCTGATAGTGGTGTCTAATTCAGATGTATGCATAGACTGCACTTGATGTTGAATAGTTTCACGTGAAGCAGATGTAAGGATGTCAGCAGCTTTTACATGGGCTTGTGATTCTTTATGTTCTTTGATTTTTTTTTCTCAGGCTAGCTTGTTGTTTGCCCTTGTCAACACCGA